GGGGAGGCCCAGCCACAACTTCCTTGGCCAACCTGTTCCAGTGTCTGACCACCCTCACAGTGAAGAACTTCTTCCTAATATCTAATCTAAACCTGCCCTCTTTCAGGTGTGTGTATATATATATATCTGTTTACAAAATTGCAATTGCAAATCACGTAGCTTGGCACGTCAGCAGCCTCTGCACCGACAGTTAATTTCAAGGCTCAAATCGAATCACAACACTGGTACCTGCGAGAAATGGAAGTAACTCAGGAGGAACCACCTTCTGCATAAGGATCCCAATGCAAAGGGAAAATTTTCTCCTGTGTCACTGGTGACCTGGGATTACTGAAACTGTTTTAATACCTACGGTGTGTGCGCATCGTTCTCGATTTGGGAGTGAAAGCGGAGTGGCCACCCTCCTTTTGCTTAGTTTCTAGGTGATTTCACTGGGAGGTACATAATTTTGTGCTGCAATGTGTGAGTACAATGGGCAAATATATAACAAAAGGCTCTGCTTTGTTTAAAAGTCTTATTTTCACAGAAATGAAACCAAGTCAATTTCTTTGTGCCTACATTCTGCTCATTTCACCATTTGGGTTATGACGCAATTCTTTTTCTTATGCTTTCTAAAACAGAACACTCTTGCCAAACCAAAGTTTGGTTAAAACTGGACTCACAACCCACTATAAACAAAAAAAAACAAAACCCAACCAACCCAATTTATTACTTTGAAACATGTTCCTGTTGTTTCAGTCATTCATTTCACTAGACAATATCTGGTAAGAAGAGGTTTTTGTTGAGTAGAGCGAAGTTGGGTGAGCACTAACACACACAGAGCAGAGCAGCAAGGAGAATTCCTTGTTTCAAATGTTAGTTTATTATAATTTTTTTTTTTACAACCCATTTTCTGCACATGCTATTTCTCTTTGAGCTTGAGGCACATAAAAATCCTACGTTTCCTGGGATAAAATGAAATTCCCACTTTTTCTTGTATAAATAGAGAATCTTCTATTTGTGGCTGGTATTTCAACCTGAGCCAGATTTAAATCTTAGGTATCCTGTGTTTAACTGTAGGAACAGCATAAATGTAAAGATTTATTCCTGGTTTTCTTCTTTCTATAACTAGCACTGGAACGTGGCCAAACGCACATAAGAATTAGCACATAGAAACTCGAAGAAGATTAATACAGAGAACAAACAAACAAGCCCAGCAGTATTTGGAGAAGGAAACCCTATTCCTTGACTAGCAACTTTTAAAATTGAAATCCCAGAGAGACTGTAACGTTTAGCTGCTTAAGAGTTAAAAAAAAATCATTGGAAACAGTCAGGCTTTTGGCTTCTACTAACAAAAAAACCCCAAACTCATGGTGGACAAGAAATTAGAAGGGCTGCTTTGCAGGGGACCCACAAAACTTCAATGTAACATGAAAAATTAATTTGCTGTCATCTTCCATTGAGATTATTTGTTTCACCCCGAGCACAGAGCTTAGTCACAACTCTACAGCAACCTCATGGTATTAAGTGGTATTTCCTTTAAGGAAACCAGGGAACAAGCCCAACCATAGCAGCATCATAATGGTGAATATTTGTATAGTGCTGAAAAGCAAACGCTACAAGGGTTAAAAACTACTGGCATGCCAGCAGTGAAACACAGAGAAAGGTATCTTGTTCTCCTTTACAGTAAGTAAATTTTGCTGCCATGAACGAGCATGTCTTGAGGGCAAGAAAGGTGCATTGCAAACCAAAATATCTTAAAAAGGAAGAGTTCAGCTGTGACTAAACCATCTGAAGCCATGTGGACTGTGTGCTGCAGACTGAGTTTCTCCCACTGGACAATAAAGGCAGCGTAAGGAAATTTTTTCATATTAACATCTGCATCTTGACAATGTTTTTCAAACCACGTTAAGCAACTCAACTGAGCTAACACAATACAAAAATGTCCCCATGTTATTCAGCAGAGCAGGCCGATGGGATGTTTTAGATTTACACTGATGAAACACAGCCAGGGCTAAAGTCAAACGAGCAGCTAACGGATTGGAATTCTGGATAACTACTCTGGATTATGCCACAAGAACTGGCTGGCTTTTCAGGGTTGTGCTGTCAATTTGTTGTGGTCAAAGTAATATCAGAACCAGACTCTGAGGACAGTGAATGCTTCTTCTGATCCCACCACTTTTATTTCCAAGCTCACCCATCTCTTCTGAGAGCTCCTAGCTGAGTGAGATTAAGATGCAAAAATCAATGCTGAATGTTAAAACTCTCATACAAAACTGCTTATGGTTGTGCTGAGTTCCAGCATTACTGATTTCCAGGTTTACATGAAGAAACAAGCTCTAACTTGGTTATAAACCTAAATTGCAGATTTTCAATGTATAAATGGCAATACTCATCCATCTGACCTGCCACACTTCTAAAAACTATTTGGTCTCCTTGTTCCATCCAAGATGACTTTTTGAATTCCAGATGCACCACTGAAAATATCCTGAATGTTGCCTGGGAACCAAAGATTTATGATTAATAAAGGCACAGCTCCTTTAGCTTTGTTGTAAAGTTACACTTGCTTGACAATAGTTAACTACTGGCTAGGAAACAAAAGAAGGGGTTTTTTTTATTTCGTTCTTTAGTACTGACAGTCAGGCATAAACCTTTAATTAGACTAAGTATTTTGGGAAGAAACAATATTCACTTTATATGTAAAAGGAGATCAATGAAAAAAATTAGACATGACTTTGCACAAATCAGTGGGAAAAAAAAAAATACATACAGCTTTGCAAAACCCCTCCTTTTTCCAGAAACAGAGCTGGGCTAGCAGAAGTGAAAACAATGGTGGCTTTAAGAATAAAGGCAATAGTAGGGTGAGGTTGTTTTTTTTTCCCCCTCTCCCTGGATTGAGAAAAACAGTCAGTGTGAAGAAGCAGAGAGTAATTCACGGGTTTTCAGTCTTAACCACAGCAGTTAAAACCAGGCCTGATTTTGCTTGCTGTTACCTGACTTGAGTGGAGTTGAACCAGAGCAAATCTGGGCTGAAGGCAGCACAGGGTCTGTTGTGGTAGAACACAGCTCTTGTGAAGCCACTGCAGTGAACCGTCTGCCATACTGGAAGAGGCAAAGCCTAACTGGTTTATATCAATTCTTGCTTTGTCAGCCTTGGCTCTAGACATGCAGACCTTTTTAAGATGGCACTATAGCTCATGTTGGCCTGTCACCATGTTCTCCCTTGGAAGAATTATATTTAAAGACAGTCTGTGGTTTCAGTTGGAGGTAGAGCAGTGTGCTAGAGGGTTACAATGTGATGTCTGGCTGGTGTGTTTACACAGACTTCTCCAATATGTTGAAGTTCAGATCAACTCAGAGTCTCAGCTTGACTCTAAAATGGTTAAATGTGCTTGCAGTGCTTCTTCTTTTTTCTCTGCCCTCTTTCAACATGCTCATCTGTCTCCTCTTTTTGCACTTTGTGTTTCTTCTTACGGTGTTTCTTTTGCTTTGCCTCAGAGTCCTTTAGGCCAATATCTTCCCCATCAGGTACTCCTGTATAAATTTCCCCACTGCCCATATTTTCATCACAACTAATGCTTTCCCCTTCGTGCTGCTCTTTATGCTTCCTTTTCTTTTTCCCTGAGTGACATTCATTTAATGGAGTATCCAGTTCCTTTCCATTCAAGCTACCTATCTTAGGTTGTTTCACTTTTGGTTGCTCGCAAAGCTCTATACTCTCTACCTCGTCTCTCTTCTGCTTCTTTTTTTTCTTTTTTACTTTGGTTTTCAGTTCTTCTGAAGGCTCCACAGCTTTTTCAGCTGTTGGGCAGGAATCATCTACCTTAGTTTCTGTTCCATTCTGGGATGCCTTCAGTTTTGCCATGCGCTTAGCAAAGTACTCCTGTACAGTAAGAACACTCTTCACGGTATTGTAACCATCCTCAGGCTCAGACAGACAGCCGTTTCTCTTCTTCTCTTCCTGAGACTCAGCATTGGTAATATCCTCCTGCAGGTGAACAAAAAAGAGCAAGAGTGAGAATCAGAAATAACAGCTTTAAAAGTAAGGTTTATGGTTTTTTTGCACAGTAATAAGAAAAACATTTAAAAACCATGCAGTGCTTTGAAAATCAGTTGTATAGACTTTGGTAGAAGTCAGAGGCAGCCTTTAATGCAAAAGATAACAGAGGTTTAGGGAGATGGGGTGTCACAGAATGACAGAATCACAGAATTGCCTTGATTGGAGAAGTCCTTTAAGATCATGGAGTCCAACCATGAACCCAACACTGACAAGTCCCCTATGACTAACCCATGTCCCTCAGCACTATGTCTACACGACTCTTCAATCCCTCCAGGGATGGGGACTCCACCACTGCCCTGGGCAACTCCTTCCAATGCCTCAGAACCCTTTCAGCAAAGAAATTCTTCCTCACATCCCATCTCAACTGCCCTTGGAGCAACTTGAGGCCATTTCCTCTCGTCCTGTCACTTGTTACTTGAGAGAAGAGACTGACCCCCACCTCTCTACACGAGGCAGCAAAAAACCACAGAACAAGACATTCTCTGTTGCTTTGAATTTCTTACTGTTTACTCTTTACTCCTGTGCAACTCACACACATTATGTATAATACTATCATACTTGGTGTATTACACTCACTTTGCAAAGGCACATGTCTCTACAAGATACAAAACAACATGAAAAATAACACAGTACGATGCCTGTGGCATAAAGGAAATCCCATGCCCGGAATACCTCTAACAGCAAAGTGCAAGAACTTATGATACACAGAGCAATCCAGCATTGATGCATCTCTCTTCCATCTTATCTGATCTTTAGAAATGTTTGTTTCACAGCTGGTTTACTGTCATTGTGTCCTAGATGTTGTTATTTAAATATGCTCCATTTGATCATACGTTATCAGATGGCAAAAAACAACATCAGAGGTTAGATCTTACAAGGCTTCAGCATAGACAGAATAAATAGCTGCTGAACTCTAGCTGCAGGTGAATATCCATAAAAGGAGTCTAGGATCTAGAAAGCAAATATAAAACAAAAAGCAAAGTGTAGCTCTGGAGATGGAGGTTATGTATGGCATGAAGAGAATTGACTCTGAAAAAGCAACAAATGCAACAAGATGAAAATAGATAACTTGTTAAAGTCTATGTGACTTACAAAATAAACAACCCAAAAAGGCAGCTGAAATTCAGACTTGTTTACATGGACACCAAAGCACTCAAAAATAACCCTCTGTGGCACATCCTTTTTCTTGGCAAAGTCACAATTGACTCTTGGAAATGTCCCAAATTTTATATTGCTTTGTTTTTGGGTTGTTTTTTTTTTAAAAGCCTTGTACGAACTGCAGGTAATCAAGCACACCCCCTTTGATGGGAAAAGCTGAGCAGGTAAGAATTGTGTAGAATCTTTGCTGGTATGTGGCCTACAACACAGTTCTTGAACAGGAGGTAAATCCACAGCTATTACCAGTCAAATGCAGTGAATATGACAGAGAGACTTCACTTTTTCCATTCATGAATGCACGGATAGATAAGAGCATCCACTCTACCCATGCATCTTGTACATGTACTGAAGTGATTATAAAATACAACTAAATCAGAGCAATTATACTTCACGCCCACTTTCACTGGCATAAACTGATGCCCAGGGTGAAGGCCAGTAGCAAACTGGGAGATATAAAACCACTTATCTCAACACTTTATAGTTATTGCATGATGGTGTAGATAAGTGATCTGTCTCTCTTCAGGGCATCATTAAACTTGCTAGCTGAAGTGGGGTTTATTAGGGTTTGTGATGAAGGGTTTTTGCAGGTCTGACTCCTTATGCATCCATAAACTTTATTAACATGAGGAGGAATGCAAAAATTTGTGTCATTAGTGATGCATTACGAGTAGCGATTTCCTCATACATCTGCTTTCAAGAGAGCTATTCCAGTGGAACAAAAGTAACGCTACACTTGAGATTCCAGTAATGTTTGTATGGGTACTTATAAAAATTAGGTACATTTCTCGTAGGAATACCTTGTCGTGTACCTTCAAGGTAAGTTTATGAAGTAAATGAAACTATTTGACTTCTGGCAAAGAAATCATAGAGTCATAGAATGGTTTGGATTGGAAGGGACCTTAAAGATCATCCAGTTCCAACCCCCCTGCCAACAGCAGGGACACCTTCCACTAGACCACGTTGCTCAAAGCCTCATCCAGCCTGGCCTTCAACACTTCCAGGGAGGGAGCATCCACAACTTCCTTGGGCAACCTGTTCCAGTGTCTGACCACCCTCACAGTGAAGAACTTCTTCCTAATATCTCATCTAAACCTCCCCTCTTTCAGCTTAAACCCATTTCCCCTTGTTTTGTCATTAACTGCCCTTATGAAAAGTCCTTCCCCAGCTTTCTTCTAGCCCCTTCAGGTACTGGGAGGCCACTATAAGATCTCCTCGGAGCCTTCTCTTCTCCAGGCTCAGCCCCAACTCTCTCAGCCTGTCCTCACAGGAGAGGTGCTCCAGCCCTTGGATCATCCTGGTGGCCCTTCTCTGGACTTGTTCTAACTGCAAAGAGATGTTGAACATGAGGGGGAAAACAAAGCATGTCTCTACGCACATCTCTACATATAGGTTACATTGAAAAGGGGAGAATTTTGACAAGACAGAATCCACAGAATAAATGGACTGAGCTATGTTTGTACTCACTGTCTTTTTAATAAGATACACCTCCCCACCCAAGCAAGCAGCGTTAGTGTGTATCAAAAATAGATGCCCTGCTAAAGCAGAGTGAAACAGGTCACTTACTTTTCCTTCTACCCGCAGCAGGATTTTGACACCTTATATTGCAAAATGACAAACAGTCTCCCAGGTTTCCTGCCACAGATGCCAGCCAGAACAGTTTCCCTCCCCACCCCAATAAGTAAAAAGTACTTGCAACCAGAAGACCGATTACCCCCTGGCCAACCAGGAAAGGATTTTCTCATTCCCTTGGTGACTTCGAGTCCTGACAACTTAATTACTGTAATTGAAGGCAAATATTACTTGAACTCTACACGTTTCTTTTATAAAACACATTAGGCATTAAAAAAAAAAAAAAATGTTCCTTTGGTTCAGCTAAGGAGTTCAGAAGGTATGCATGATCCCAGAAAATAAGAACCTTGCTCAGAAACTCCTTTATTGATAAGAATTTTAATAACCACGGGCCACTGAACACAGAACTAACAGGGCATGGAGACAAGCAAAGAGGTGCCAACCCTAGAAAACCTCTCAGTTTAGGAAAAGCTTATGTGAAACCATAAATCACCTGGAAAGGCTGTTAAATGCCAGAAGTGTTCCCCCTCCCATGATGTACCTGTCCTAGTAGCCATGGGAACACCACTGAACTCTAAACATGGGTTTTCTCTTAACTTCTCAACGGGAAACTCACGGTTTATGCAATTCCTCCCTTGCTTGTCTCAACGCATGCATAGAAAAGTTTTAAAAAGAAAAATAAGATATACATACTTAAATGTGTACTGTGTTACTGCAACTTCTGAAAAGCAATTTATTACACAAGATAAAAGAAAGAAACACTCCTGCTCCGCAGAACTGATGATCACGTAAAAGGGAAAGTTGTGCTGTAACTGGTGGGAAGCCTGAAGTTTGGGCTTTGGAGGAGATATGTTTGTCCACACCATGAGTTCCAAAATTGCCAATGAAATTGGGCTGAGAAAATGAAGTTAAAAGAAGCTGGGAATACTGGCCTCTAGGGAATTGGTAGGATGGTCCCAAGCAAGAGAAAAAGACTGTGTAAAACATGTTGTTAAATGTGGAATGATTAAGAGGAAACAATAGGAAAATTCAAGGAGAGGCTGGGAAGTGCACAGGAAAAGATGAAGGTCAATTATAGCCAGAAGTCCCCTGTAAATATCATCTGTTTATGTAATTACTTAAATGTATGGAAAATAAGCTGAAGCACATAAAGCACCCTAAGTAGCACCAGGTTTTTTTTTCTGCCTGCTTACTTCACTTGAGACACACAATGTTGATTTAATCACTAAGTTAGTACACTAAACTTAAGAGAGTGAAATCCTGGTTGCCTTGATTCCTGCAGGATCAGGATTGCATCTCTGAGGTATTGTACTCTCAAAGCACCTTTCAGCCACAGTTATTTAGTGAAGAATAAAATAAGGAATTATGGTCAATTATATAAACAATTCATATCACATCATGAAAACAATTTGACAATAGTAGAAGCCCAAAGTGGAAAGTATTTAGACACTTCATGAAATCAAATGAGCTTGAAACCCAAATATCTTTGGAGATTTAAGACCTTAGGTTGAAAAATTAAAATCCAAAAGGAAAAATCTGCATCCAGCTGTTACTCTGTGAGAAAAAGCGAGATACAACCCATTAGCAAACACAAAGGGTGCCAGTCCATAAGCAAGAGAAGCAGCTTGGATTAATTCTATGAAGTTTCCCTCCTCTTCATACTGCAAGTGTTTCTTCCTTAGCACTTAAAACTTAGAATAGGGAAATCAAAAAATCTACTATACAGTCTCAGATCTGCCACATACAAACTACAATTACTTAAGTAATTTAACATCTTTGCTTCCTCATTTGTAAATGAGGGGGTACTAATTCACAAGCAATTCTGTTAGCCCAAATTCATAAAAATAACACACAAGTACAGAAGGGGTGAGCATAAAGGCAGAATAAAGCTAAACTGTAATTTCTGTAGATTCTCACTTAAATTACAGAAAATGGGCTAGATGAAGTAAGTAGAGACTAAACTTCTAACTGAGTTACAAGGCAATCACACAACCATTCATAGCTTTAAAATGCAACAACCCCTTTCTGCAGTCTGGCTGAACCACAGTGATTAGCTACTTTCTTGTTGAGAAACCATAACAACAAGATTAATATAATCCACTTCTGTTTCTGCTACTTCAGATCCTGACGGCAGAGGTGCGTTGGTATGACTGCCCCATGCAGCGTACAAAACTTGACAGGCAAGAATTGAGGACATCCCT